CTCGGCCATGGGGAGGGGGCGCAGGGAGCTCGGCCACGGGGAGGGGGCGCAGGTGGCACTCGGCCATGGGGAGGGGGCGCAGGGAGCTCGGCCATGGGGAGGGGGCGCAGGTGGCGCTCGGCCATGGGGAGGGGGCGCAGGGAGCTCGGCCCCGGGGAGGGGGTACGGGGGGCTCGGCCGTGGGGAGAGGACTCGGGGGACTGAGCCACAGGAGGGTGCCGGGGCCTCAGGCCTGCTCCCGGCCGCACTCACCCGTGTAGAAGGCCAGGATGGCGACAGGCGCCCCCACCAGCTGGTCGCACAGCACCTTGGCCAGCACCGCGCCGGGCGCGCGGCCGGGCAGCGCCCGCTCCAGCCCCCGCAGCCACACGTAGTTGAAGTTGCCATGGAAGCTGAGGGCCACCAGCGCCACGTGCCGGGTCTGCGCCCAGTCGGGCTCCTGCCCCGGGCGCCGCCGCAGCAGCTGCTGAGCCGCGTCCCCGGCCGAGAAGAGGCTGCCGTAGAGCAGCACGTTGCAGAGCCAGGGGAACCGGCGCACCCCGCTCCGGAGCAACGGCCCGGCCATAGGCTCCCCGGCCTCCCGTGCCGGAGTACGGCTTCCACCCGCCGCCGGGCCAGAGCAGCAGAGCGCACAACGCCGCCTTGTGCTGCCTCTTCCGCCCCGCCTCTTGCCTGCCGGAGCCGCCCAGCCCCGAGCCTCTCGCCCGCTCTCCTCCTGCCAGCCCTGCCCTGCCCCTCTCCTCCCGGTACTGCCCCGCCTTCCCCCAGCCCTCTCGTTCCCCAGTCAGACATGCCTCTGTCCTTGCCTTGCCTTGCCCCTGCCATCCCCTCGCGGACTAGCCCATCCCTCCCTCCACTATACCTGCTCCTGTTACTACCTCCAGCTGCAGGAACTACCCCCGCCCCCTTTCTCAGACCTGCCCTCCTCCTGTGAAACCTTTGTCTTCTTCTCAGAGAGCCCCCCACATTTCTCTTTCTGGCCCATCGCATCTGCTCCTCGATAGACTCTTCTCCAGTTCATAAACCCAGCAGAAGACCTACTCCTCATTGCTCTCAAACTTCCTGGACCCTGTTAACACAATAACAGCCATATTGGATCAGACCACGTAGTACAGTATCTTCCAGTAGACGCCTCAGAGGATGGAGTAAGACCCCTCTTGTAGATATAGGTGGGGGCAGATCATTTCACAGATGTCTCATCCTCACCTCTCATAGTTGAAGATTTTCTTAAGCCTTGAAACACAAGGTTTAATATCCCGTCCAAATATTTTATTGGTATTAAACTTTATTGTTTTATTAAACTTCCGTCGTCCCAAGTTTTTCCTGAGCAAAAGTCATTTCTATTTGTACAACAGACTCCTATGCACAGTTGTATTGAAACTGTGCACAGAGCTGTGCCCCCACAAAGAATTTTAAATACATATTGTGAATCTAGTGCTGGGGAAAGGTGCTGGATTGACAGCCTAGGGAACTATTTTCAGCAGGGAGGTGGCAGTTCAGGCTCTATGTTCAATCAGTCCTTGACAGCTCTACTAGGTCTGGTGGCGGGTTTTGCAATGTGATCACTTGACCAATGAGTAGACTAAGACTCCTAACTCCTTTCACAGAGGCCACATTTCCATTGAAATGAGTATAATTTACTGTTAAATAACTCATATGTCTAGAAAGCAACAAAGAGTCCTGTGGCACCTTATAGACTAACAAATGTATTGGAGTATAAGCTTTCGTGGGTGAATACCCACTTTGTCAGACGAAGTGAGTATTCACCCACGAAAGCTTATGCTCCAATACATTTGTTAGTCTATAAGGTGCCACAGGACTCTTTGTTGCTTTTTACAGATCAAGACTAACACGGCTACCCCTCTGTCGTATGTGTAGGAGATTATACCAGCATCTGGTGAAATCATTTCAAAGGAAAATCCAATAATGATTAGAATACCTATGAAACAGATGCACATTACCTGTGTATTGCTGATGTAGGTTGAGAGCCTGACAAATCTATTGAAAAAGACACCTGTTATCCAGACAAATTATATATCTTTTAGGGTTGTAAAGGCTGAAAAAAAAGTGGGGATTGTGTTTGTCCCTTAACGTTTGGCCCAGTATTTAAATCTGCAATCTCTACAGACAAAAGACAGACAAGTTCTAGGTGCTGAGAAGACATCTGTAGATCCCACCTGCAGACTCTTTGGGCACTACTGGAATCAGACAAATCTGATTGTCTTTTCTGAGAGAATTGCAGAATTAGTGGGTGAAGGAGGAGATAGTACATCCACATGCCATATATTTGGATATTATTAATACAGTTTAGACTGTATCAGAAACATTCCTAGAAAAAATAATTCAAATAGGCTTGGGAAGGTTTTTAGGCCAAAATCTAGCTAAAAATGCCATAAAGAAAGAAGAATGACAGACAGCAATGTATTGCATTTAGGGTAAGTATATTGTGCAGGCAACAGGGATCCCAATTAGGTATGGTCTTATTTAAGATCTTATTATATGGAAGTAGGAATTAATAGCATACTATTGATGATATTTGTAGATTATACTAATTTGAGATGAATAATATAAAAGAATCTAGAGCAGTGGTTCTCAACCTATTTACCACTGTGGGTCGCATATGCAGCTCTCTATGTATTATGTGGACAGCATCCACACAATATATATATACTACCTGTATGTCCCTGAGGATGTCACATGGGCCGTAGCTGTGTGCTGATTGGGTTGAGAATCACTAGAGAGATTAGACACATGCACAGAACATAACATGAGGTTTAACTGGAAAAAATATAACCAAACACACCTGGGGGGAAAACAGAGACTTTTATGCTGCCTGCATAATAAAACTCATAACTTCATAGAATGTGTGAATCATGGGAGATCATTATGCTACTGATCCCAGTCTCTTCTGCCCTAGACTCAGCACCTTTGAAAATTTACCCATTTAATTCCTTCATGTTCTCTGTCTGTAAAAAGGGAATAATATATTTCCTTTCTCCACACTTTGTCTGTCTTGTCAATTTAGATTGTAAACTCTTTGGAACAGGGACTTTCTCTTACTATGTGTTTATAAAGTGTCTAGCATAGTAACCCCCTTATGATAGATAAATAAATATAAATAAATACAAAATTGTAACAAATAATAATGTAATGCACAATCTGCACTGGCTTTAATTCTATTTGGGGGGAAATTGTTTATATTCCAGAATCAACAGTTAACATGCAAACATTGGGCCCAATCTTTCTCCAAGTGTAGTAAATGGCAAATCTAGAACGGGATCAGGCCAGTTATTTTGAGTGTTGTGCTGACATCCTTTGGTAATCCCAGTGCACTTGAAAATGAAGATGTCTTGATCTGCAGTAGTTTCAGGGACCAGTGTAGCACACAGATGTAGGAGACACTGAGAAATTTGATAGGACAACCAAGGTTTTTTTAAAGGCTAATGACAAAACATTATTTTATAAAATACAGTTTGTTTCCCAAAATCCATAATAATAATAATAATACTGCTAGGGTTTCTCTTCTGAAAAGGAGGTTGTCTTGTTTTGGTCTTTCGACAATATTATGAGCACCCTCAACAACATTCTCTCTCATCCTGGCAGTTGTGGAAGCACTACTCAGGTAGGAGAATGGGGGATAAATTGAATGAAAGAAAGCTGCTAATATGTTATTGTTATACAATTATCATTTATATTTGTATTATCATAGTACCTAGGGGCCCATGTTATGGGCCCATCCACACTGGGGTTCAACAGAGTTAGTTTCTAAACACTGGATAGGCTGCACGGATGGTAACCAACCATATTAGAACCATGTTTTAAAATGTATTCCATTTAGATGGAAATATGTTTATGAAATTACTTTAAACATGGTTCCCACTGTCTGTTTAAAGATTAGTGTAGGTAGGGCTTAAAACAGCTCCTAGTTCTTGCATAATAAAATACATATGCTAGGAAATGAAAATGCTTTGTTGTTCATGATACAGTTACAACCATGTTAATTTCGGCTTCATTGACATTACAGAGAGAGAAAAATCAATGTTGCCAAATTTTAAGAGAGAATAGAATAATAGAGGCACCAATTGTAAAGGAATCCATGTGGGTAGACCCCTAAGGACAGGAAATATCTTCAACTTTCAAAAAGTATGTTGCAAATCTCAGCCCAATTTTGCAAAGATTCATACATGTGATTTTCCCACTGACTTCAATGAGAATATTCAGAGTGTGTAAAATTAAACATATGCCTAAATATTGCAGGATCAGGCCTGATCCTTATAAGAATTGAGTGCCTGGAATATGAGCTCAGGACCAGGGATTGAGGGATCAATCCTGTATTCCTTGCCATCCAAAACTGCCTTTGAAGTCAATGGAAGTTTGGCCTACAAATTACAGAATTGGGCACAAACAACAAATGTTTAAATATAAAACTAAAATCCGTTATAAAATTATTCAATGTTGTCCTTTTAAATTACAATAAATGTTCTCTTTCAAAAAATCAGTAGAGCATAGCAATAAAACCTTGACACATTTCTGTACTTAATGACTTTAAAGAAAAGAATTCAAGCTTTTAAATGTTTGATAAAAATCTGCTAGAGACAATGCTTTCAGCCTATAGGATAAATCTCTCTTTTTTTTATTAAGTTATTATTTTAATTTAAACAATTCTAAATGCTCTAATTTGATCTAGCACTTGACATTGTTCGCTCAAGCTTTGAATGTTATGATTACTTTTGTTAAATGCTGGATTAACTGCTCCAGGGGATCTGACGCATGGACAGCAACAGTGTCACCTTCCCCAGCCAATGTGGGGCAAAATATGGACAGGAGGCAACCATCTGCAGGTTGAGAGGGGTAGTTCAGTGTCTTGTTTCCCATTTAATCATAGGTACATAAGACTAGAAGGGATCACTGAGCCCACTTCCTTGTTATTGCAGGCGACCCCCTATAATCCAGCTCATAAATCTATCAAACTCCATCTTTAAACTAATTAGATTAATCCTGGCATCCTCCGGGAATAGCAAGGATGGTGCAGATTAATGCCGACTGCGGCGATGACAGTTTGTGCACTGACAAATTCATTGCACACACACACCTCTCAGTAGCAACCCAGTTTCCGTGCAGGCTCACCCTGGGCTGGGCGCCGTGGCGATACAAATACCTGTCTCCCGACCAGCAGCCGCCCCTCAGTCTTGGAGGGATTCACGAGAATCCCTGCAGCCCTTCGCCCCGTTAGTCGCACTGCCACTACCACCCTCCCTGCTGGGGCTAGATTCGAACCCGCAGCCCCACGGGGCGCTATAGAGCTTTTAGTGGGCTCTGCCTGCCCAGCAGCACCCCCGCTACCAGCCTGTTCCTGGGCATGGTGCACTGCAGAAGCGTTGCGCATGCTCAGACATCCTCGCTTCGGTGCCCCTCGCCTCTGGAATGTTCCATTGTCTAAAAAGAGGGGGGAGACAATCAGAAGTGAAGGGGTTACTTTTGGTGTTGAAGACGGAGGTCAGTTCTTCCCGCATTCAGCCTGCTGTCATCGTAGCTTGTTTCCGGGTCCGTTGAAGCGCATGTTGTCCGGTCTGCCTGTTGTCCCATCCCTGTATTCTCCCAGATTGGTACATCCCACTTCTGTCACAGACGACTACGGGTGCTTGGAAGG